CACCAAGATACTGGCAATATACCACACCCCCTCGGGCCTTATTACTTAAATATATAGCTAGAGGCTTTGTATATAGGGTTAAAGGTAGAGCTGGACGATAGACCAAAATATTTTGCTGATATTGTTCATTACGATAAATAACCTATAGGGCTCATTAGAAAATGTGAAGTTTCAAATGAAATAAGTTGCTAATATGGTGACTGTAATGGGACGTTGTTAGCTACACTTCAAAGTAGTAGTAGAATGTTAAGGGTAATATAAAAAAACTGTGGTTACATTTATGTTGTTATAAACTTGTTACATTTACGTTATGGATTTTTGTCCATATCGGCCAGCTCTAGTTAGAGGTCAGGGTGCTTACACAGAGTGGTTGTGGTCGTAATGCCTGTCATAATGTCTGTCATGGTGGTAGGCAGGACCATCCGGAATATCTTCATGCCGACTGGCAGAGCGGCCTCTGATTGGCTCCTGCTCCGACTTTCTCCATCCCATAGTTTACTGCAGAGGAGGGAGAGAGGGATGGATACAATAAAGTATTGATGGACTGAGACAACGATAGAGATATAAAGAACGACTGACCAACACACACACAGACAGACAGAGACAGATGACCTTCTCTTTGGCCAGTCTGTAGGTCTTTCAGGTAGTTCGCTCTCTCTATGGAGTTGGCCACGCGAAGAGTTAAACACTGGAATAACACAGGGAGAGAACATTACACACCCATGTGTAAGTGCACACACACAATTCTTAAAAGGAGGTTAAGTACTCACACTCTACAGCCTCTTTAGGATCCATCCCATCTACATCTATCAGTACCTGAGAGAAGAGACGTAGAGGAAAGAGAGAAAGAAGTGAGAGAAGGGGGAAGAGGAAATGAGGACAACGTCAAAAAACGAAGGAGATGATCATGGACTTCAGGAAACAGCAGAGGGAGCACGCCCCTATCCACATCAACGAAACCGCAGTAGAAAAGGTGGAAAGCTTCAAGTTCCTCGGCGTACACATCACTGACAACTTTAATAATGGAACACTAGTCACTTTAATAATGTTTACATACTGCTTTACTCATCTCATGTGTATATACTGTATTCTATTCTACTGTATTTTAGTCAATGCCACTACGACATGCTCGTCTTAATATTTATGTACATAACCAGTCAAAAGTTTGGACACACCTACTCATTCAAGGGTTTTTCTTTATTTTTAATAAAGAAAAACACATATGGAATAACACAATAACACATATGGAATCATGTAGTAACCAAAAAACTGTATAAACAAACTTTTTTATTTGAGATTCTTCAAAGTAGCCACCCTTGCCTTGATGACAGCTTTGCACACTCTTGGCATTGTCTCAACCAGCTTCACCTGGAATGATTTTCCAACAGTCTTGAAGGAGTTCCACATATGCTGAGCACTTGTTGGCTGCTTCTTCTCCTTCACTCTGCGGTCCAACTCATCCCAAACCATCTCAATTGGGTTGAAGTCAGGTGAATGTCGAGGCCAGGTCATCTGATGCAGCACTCCATCACTCTCCTTCTTGGTCAAATAGCCCTTACACAGCCTGGAGGTGTGTTGGGTCATTGGTCCTTGAAAACAAATTATAGTCCCATTAAGTGCAAACCAGATGGATGGCGTATCGCTGCAGAATGCTGTGGTAGCCATGTTGGTTAAGTGTGCCTCAATTCTAAATAAATCACAGACAGTGTCACCAGCAAAGCACCCCCACACCTCCTCCTCCATGCTTCATGCTTCATGGTGGGAACACACCATGCAGAGATCATCCGTTCACCTACTCTGCGTCTCACAAAGACAAGGCGGTTGGAACCAAAAATCTCAAATTTGGACTCATCAGACCAAAGGACAGATTTCCACCGGTCTAATGTCCATTGCGCGTGTTTCTTGGCCCAGCATCTCTTCTTATATTGATGTCCTTTAGTAGTGGTTTCTTTGCAGAAATTCGACCATGAAGGCCTGATTCACACGGTCCCCTCTGAACAGTTGATGTTGAAGATGTGGCTGTTTCTTGAACTCTGTGAAGCATTTATTTGGGCTGCAATCTGAGGCTGGTAACTCTAATGAACTTATCTCTGCAGCAGAGGTAACTCTGGGTCTTCCTTTCCTGTGGCGGTCCTCATGAGAGCCAGTTTCATCATAGCACTTGATGGTTTTTGCGACTGCACTTGAAGAAACGTTCAAGTTCTTAAAATTTTCCGGTTTGACTGACCTTCATGTCTTAAAGTAATGATGGACTGTCGTTTCTCTTTGCTTAATTGAGCTGTTCTTGCCATAATATGGTCTTGGTCTTTTACCAAATAGGGCTATCTTCTGTATACCAACCCTACCTTGTCACAGCACAACTGATTGGCTAAAATGCATTAAGGAAGAAATTCCACAAATGAACTTTTAAAGGCACACCTGTTAATTGAAATGCATTCTAGGTGACTACCTCATGAAGCTGTTTGAGAGAATGCCAAGATGTGCAAAGCTGTCATCAAGGCAAAGGGTGGTTACTTTGAAGAATCTCAATCTAAAATATATTTTGAGTAGGTGTCTCCAGACTTTTGACTGGTACTGTATTTCTTATTCCATTATTTTACTTTTAAATTTGTGTATTGTTGTGAATTGTTAGATACTACTGACTGTTGGAGCTTGGAACACAAGCATTTCTCTACAACCCGCAATAACATCTGCTAAATATGTGTATGTGACCAATAAAATTTGATTTGAAAGAGAAGGGCCGGTTTTATACTGTAAGCACATCTACCACATGTACTAGAATCTACCAGACACCCACAAAATCTGCTAAACACTCCCTTTCCTACAGACCAAGTAGCCTGTCCTGTTGAGACCATGAGTACAGTGCACTCCGATCAGCTTATCTGTGAAAGAGAAAAATAATAAAAACGTTTTTTAACATAATCTTGCCTTCCTGCTGATGTGTTGATGATGAACTAATCAGTTACACTAATCACCTGTGAGGGTGGCTGTGTGTGTCACACCTTCCCAAATTCTCCCATGTCACCCCCTCCTCCGCACACTCCAATGGCTTCCAGTCGAAGCTTACCTCCACTACAAGACCATGGTGCTAGCCTACGGAGCAACAAGAGGAACTGCACCTCCCTACCTTCAGGCTATGCTCAAGCCTTACACCCCAACCCGAGTTCTGCCAAGTTCAAGCTTTTCTCTGTCCTGGCAGCCCAATGGTGGAACCAGCTTCCCCCTGAAGCTAGGACAGCAGAGTCCCTGCCCATCATCCGTAAAACATCTGAAACCCTACCTCGTCGAAGACCATCTTAAATAATCCCTTTCATGAACTAACACTCACATTTGACTTTCTTCCCGCTTACTAGCTCTGACTTTGCTGATAGCTACTTTGAGGAAAAATGTACTTACAATGACTGTGATATGTGGCTGTCCCACCTAGCTACAGTATTAATGCACACAAACTGTTTAAGTCGCTGGATAAGAACATCTGCTAAATGACTAAAATGTAAATGACTGACCATTGTGTACGTTGTCTTGTAGGAACCTGCAGACGGCACGTTTGAAGCTAAGGATTGTGGGATCGCTGGGAACTTCATGACCTGCTGTGAAGATTTTCAGGTAGAACACAGAGTCTGGAAGGTCCTACACACACACACACACACACACACACACATCAGATCAGATACTACACTATACACAGTCAGTGTGTGTGGGGGGGAGGGGGGGGTTTGCTTGTGTGTATACCTCAGGATTGTAGTAGCGTTTTTGTAAAAGTGAGGTCTATGATCAGTCCCCAGTTCCTGTCCGTCTTTCTCCAGAATCTGCATCAGCTCCCACGGACCAAACACCTCAGAACGCTCCACACGACGACACAGGGACTGGAAACACACACACCACACACACAACACACAAAACACACACACACACACACCACACACACACAACAGTGTTACTAACTACTAACACTCCAATACCCATTTTACACAAACCCCTCAAGAACTACTGAACACACACAAACACTCTGACTTAGTTAGCCGTACCTGTTTCAAGGGACTTTAAACGAGATGAACCGTGTCCCAGGTATCCTTTTCCCTACTGCCTGGTAGTCTTCCCATCTGTATGGGAGAGCAGGACATCAATATGACAGAGAGTCAGTCTATAGCCCTGTCCCGTTGCCAGTTGAAGTCCAGCATTAGCTAGCTACCATGTTTACAGTACATATTTACCTGTCCGGTATCCCCGTTTTTCTTGTGAGGCATCTTTTTCTTGGGTTCACTCTTGTGTAACAGTTAACGTTACTTATACAGACAACATGATCTGTAAAAAAATTGTATCAGCTACTATAGCAGCAAAACTAACTGCTACGTCAGCTAGTTAGTTATCTATCTCGGCAACCATACTCTGTTCTGTCCACGAGAGATTAGTCAGCTAGCGCGTTAGCTAGCAGCCACGTCACAGTGACAATGAGCCAGATATTTCACCGGATGTATAAATGTGAAGCATCCGCTGGTGGTTTCACTCACTACCAAATATGGTACCAAAAGAAAGCCTAGTGGCCGGCAGTGATAGAAGATGGAAGGAGATGGATTTTGGCCGAAATTCTGCAAATATTCTGGATCTCAATACAGTGTTATGTTCCCAAAACTACAATCTGTTATGAACAGAGTGGAATAAGTTTTGTAGACTTTATCATTTGCCAAAGTTTATTTTTTTTTGCTTTGTTTTAAAAGGAGTGCAAAGGCGAATTTGAGTAATTGCACACGCGCACTTCCCTAACGAAAATATGCAGATGTCTGCTAGAACGGACCAATAGAATCTCGCTAGCTCGTGCTTGGCTCTGCCTACTTCCTTGCTTGTTCTGCCAACTATGACTAATTTGTTCCGTTGGAAACGACTGGTTGTTGTCTATCTTGTTTAGTTATAAAAATCTTTGGTTTAGTTACACATTATTTGCCTACATAGTTCTACTTCTTCTTCTTTTTCTTTAGGATTTGGTTGGCGGATTGCATCCAACTTTTAAGTGCATATACCGCTGTCTACTGTAACTGGAGTGTGAGGCCATTCAAGGCATACCTAAGTTAAATTCTTGATAAGATAATACAAATAGGAAACAGGAAAATAAAAGTTGCCCTGCCAACTATTAACACTCTCAAAAATAAATAAACACCACCCCATTCCACTATTCAACCCTATCTAGTCTACTCCAGACCAACGGTCAAAGAGGACAGAACACTACCACTCACACCCCCTGCAACTGTTCTGCAGTAAATCCTCGCAATCCCAAATACTTTCTCTGCCGCAGCCACCACAGAACACTACAGCTGACATTCATATTCTGACTATCTCTTAAACTCTCTTAGACAATACCTTTGATGATACAGTGGTAGCAATACAAGGTTATAACATTTACAGAAAATAAAGAAATGCCAGTGGTGGAGGTGTTGCTGTTTATATTCAGAACCACATTCCTGTAAAGATTAGAGAGGATCTCATGTTAAATACTGTTTGAAGTAATATGGATACAGGTTCATCTGCCTCACCTAAAGCTCATTCTTGTGGGAAGCTGCTATAGAGTCAGTATCTGGATAATGTGTGAAATGCTTGATAATGTATGTGATGTCAACAGAGAGGTATATTTTCTGGGTGATTAAAATATTGACTGGCTTTCATCAAGCTGCCCACTCAAGAAAAGCTTCAAACTGTAACCAGTGCCTGCAACCTGTTCAGGTTATCAGTCAACCTACAGGGTAGTTATAAACAGCACAGGAATGAAATCATCAACGTGTATTGATCACATCTTTGCTATTGCTGCAGAAATGTGCTTGAAAGCAGTATCCAGATCCATTGGATGTAGTGATTTCTGTCCACCTGGACAAGAGGAACACCTACGTGAGAATGCTATTCATTGACTACAGCTCAGCATTCAACACCATAGTGCCCTCTAAGCTCATCACTAAGCTAAGGATCCTGGGACTAAACACCTCCCTCTTGCAACTGGATCCTGGACTTCCTGACGGGCCGCCCCCAGGTGGGAAGGGTAGGTAACAACACATCTGCCACACTGATCCTCAACACGGGGGCCCCTCAGGGGTGCGTGCTCAGTCCCCTCCTGTACTCTCTGTTCACCCATGACTGCATGGCCAGGCACGACTCCACACATCATTAAGTTTGCCGACGACACAACAGTGGTAGGCCTGATCACCGACAACGATGAGACAGCCTATAGGGAGGAGGTCAGAGACCTGGCCGTGTGATGCCGGGATAACAACCTCTCCCTCAACGTGACCAGAAAAAGGAGATGATTGTGGACTACAGGAAAAAAAAGAGGACTGAGCACGCCCCCATTCTCATCGACGGGCTGTAGTGGAACAGGTTGAGAGCTTCAAGTTCCTTGGTGTCCACATCACCAACGAACTATCATGGTCCAAACACACCAAAGACAGTCGTGAAGAGGGCACGACAAAGCCTATTCCCCCTCAAGAGACTGAAAGATTTGGCATGGGTCCTCAGATCCTCAAAAAATTCTACAGCTGCACCATCGAGAGCATCCTGACTGGTTGCATCACCGCCTGGTATGGCAACTGCTTGGCCTCTGACCGCAAGGCACTACAGAGGATAGTGCGTACGGCCCAGTACATCACTGGGGCCAAGCTTCCTGCCATCCAGGACCTCTATACCAGGCGTGTGTCAAAATTGTCAAAGACTCCAGCCACCCTAGTCATAGACTGTTCTCTCTGCTACCGCACGGCAAGCGGTACCGGAGTGCCAAGTCTAGGTCCAAAAGACTTCTCAACAGCTTCTACCCCCAAGCCATAAGACTCCTGAACAGCTAATCATGGCTACCCGGACTATTTGCACTTCCCCCCCACCCCATCCTTTTTACGCTGCTGCTACTCTGTTAATTATTTATGCATAGTCCACTTTAACTCTACCCACATGTACATATTACTTCAACTACCTCAACTAGCCGGTGCCCCCGCACATTGACTCTGCACCGGTACCCCCCCTATATATAGCCTCCCTACTGTTATTTTATTTTACTTCTGCTTTTTTTTCTCAACACTGTTTTTTGTTGTTGTTTTATTTTTACTTTTTTTGTTCAAAATAAATGCACTGTTGGTTAAGGGCTGTAAGTAAGCATTTCACTGTAATGTCTGCACCTGTTGTATTCGGCGCATGTGACCAATACAATTTGATTTGATTTGATTTGATATCTAGGAAAACCAAAGGCTGGACCTAATATAGTGTATAAGAGGTCATACAATAAGTTTTTGTAGTGATTCCTATGTTGTTGATGAATAATATGTGTTGGTCCATTTGGGGTGTAATGAGGAGCAAACAGACGTTGCACTTGACACATTTATGAAATTGCTTATCCCAGTTACTAATAAGCATTCACCCATTAAGAAAATGACTGTAAAACTGTTAAATCCCCAGTGGATTGATGAGGAATTGAACAAATGTATGGTTGAGAGGGATGAGGCAAAGAATGGCAAATAAGTCTGGCTGCACAACCATTTGCAAACGTACTGCAAATTGAGAAATCATGTGACTAAACTGAATGAAAAAAAGAATAAACTACACTATAAAACAAAGATAAATTACATAAAGAATGATAGCAAAAGCTTTGGAACGCCTTCAATTAAATTCTGGGAAAAAGGCAAACTCAGCTCCATCATTCATTGAATCAGATGGCTTTTTCCCATTACAAAACCGACTGATATTGCCAACTACTTTAATGATTTTTTTAATTGGCAAGGTTAGCAAACTTAGGCATGACATCCAGCAACAAACGCTGACCTACACATCCAAGTATATCAGACCAAATTATGAAAGACAAGAATTGAAATTTTTGAATTCCCGTAAAGTGAGTGCGGAAGAGGTGAAAAAATTACTGTTGTCTATCAACAATGACAAGCCACTGGGGTCTGACAACTTGGATGGAAAATTACTGAGGATAATAGTGGACGATATTGCCACTCCTATTTCCCATATCTTCAATTTAAGCTGTTACGTGAATTATTTAACAAACTATTTCAGTGTCTCTGTGCATCTCCCAAAATCAAGAAAGTCCCGGTCTGCATAGTCAGAGATATTTATTAATTGAGAATTCTGCCATCACAATTTCAGAGTCCATCTTTAATACTCATACGTCATACAAAAATCCCTCCCCCTCTGTAGGCGGGCTGTAGTTTTCCACTTTGAAACTGACCTCCTGACCATCAGTACACACACACCACACACACACACACACACACACACACACACACCACACACACACACACACACACCCACACAACACACACAACACACACACACACCACACACATGCACTCTTCCAGCTAACAGTTTCTCTCCTCCCTAAATTCCTCAGTTATCTTGGTTTCTCAGTTGCCTGTAGACAGTTCTCCTTGTCCTTTGTTGTCTCAAACTCAAACTATCTGAATCGTCGTCATCCTCCACCAAGCCTGGTGGTCATATTCTTCATTCCTTTGGTTGGAGTCCAGGATTGGGCCGTATCTCACCATCTGTTGGAAACTGCATGCTCCAAGGCCTTGCTCACCAACCCTCGGACACAGGGAATAAGACAACATCCACAAAGAACAAGTATACCCATAGAAGCTATAGCTGCACCCAGAATAGTTTACAACAATAGTTTTCCATTTACCAAACATGTTATCAAACCAACCAGTCATTGATGTATTCACCCCCCATTTTCTCAGCCCATTCTTTACTTAATGCAGTGAACCTGCCAGTGCTCTAGTTACTGTACCATCTGGGCTGTATTGTTGGGGATAAACATACAACAATGACCTCCCACCATCTTGCAAATCCGCCCTTCTCTGCTAAAGCATTTAGTGAACCAAACTATTCTGCAGGTCATGAGTGAGGTGGCGGATAGTTGGGCCTGAGATTCTCTTCACTACATCCCTTGTCTAATTAACTAACCTTTGTAGATGTAATTAATATCCAGTCAACATTTTAATCAAGTGTAACCCACCAGAAAAACGTTGTTGTAAACCCTTCTCCAATTTGATCTGTGATTCGCATTACTTTGGTGTCTATAACATTGATAATCCCGGGGTTAAATGGTGAATTGGGGTGCCTTAGTATTATCCTTTTTAAGAGTGGTAATTTTAATATCAGAACAATTAGGTGAGGTTTGGTCCCAAATCTATCCAACAAGAGAACATGGTCTGAGGCATGGGTTTCAGTTAAAAGGGGTTGGCCTACCTGTTGAACAGGCATAACAATTATTTTTGACCCAACGCCCTAG